TTTTTTCCAGATTTATTGAGATATAATGGACATATAACATTGTGTAAGTTTAAGATGTACAGTGTGATTTGATACACTTATTTTTATTATTTTCAATCCTCACCCAAGGGTATGTTTTTATTTATTTTAGAGAGAGAGGAAGGGAGACGGGAAGAGAGAAAGAGAGAGAGAGAAACATGGATGTGTGAGAGAAACATCAATTGGTTTCTTCCCATACGCACCTGACCAGGGATTGAACCCTCAACCTGGGTATGTGTTCTTCCCAGGAATTGAACCCAAGAACCTTTGATGTATGGGATGATGCTCCAACCAACTGAGATACATGGCCAGGGCTAAAAGTTTGTACCCTTCGACCAACATATCCCTAGTTCTACTACTCCCAACCCCTGATAATCACTATTCTACTCTGTTTCTATGAGTTTGGTTTTTTTAGAATTCCATATGTGAGATCATACAGTATTTATCTTTCTCAGTATGACTTATTTCACTTAGCATAATGCCCTCAAGGTCCATCCATGTTGTCACCAATGACAAGATTTCCTTCTTTCTCTTGGCTGAATAATATGCCACATTTTTTTATCCATTCATCTGTAGACAGACACTTAGGCTGTTTCCATATCTTCAATATTGTAAATAGTGCTGCCTCCCATGCTTGATTTTTGAAATCTTACTAACATGACTGTACTTTCTTTTTTGCCTTAGTAAGATGAGACCAGTTAACCAGGCTTTTGTTTGTGTTTTATTTTTTATTTTTTTAATTGATTTCAGAGAAGAAGAGAGGGAGAGAGGGGAGAGAGAGACAGAGAAACATCAATGATGAGAGAGAATCATTGATCAGTTGCCTTCTGCATGCCCCACACTGGGGATTGAGCCTGAAACCTGGGCATGTGCACTGACTGGGAATTGAACTGTGACCTGCTGGTTCATGGGTGGATGCTCAACCACTGAGCCACACCAGCTGGGTTTGTTTTTTTGTTCTGTTTTGTTTTTTGAGGTTTCCAAGGGTGTCAGGGTTCTCACATTTAACATCAGGCATTGCACAAAAGTCTCAAATGGGGAAAGTATAAGAGGTAGAACTTGGTATCTACTGAGACCAGGTTATCCCTTGGAATACATTTTCTGTTATTAAAATCCAAAAAGAAGAATGAGTTTCTTTTATTTTTTTAGTGGCCTCTCTTCAAACAAGGGCATGGGAGGATATTCTGCTAAGGAAAAGTACTCCATTAGTAACAATCTAGTAAATGGAGTCTTTATTTTAAATTAACCACTACCAAACTTATCTGCATCAGGATAGCCTAGAGTTGGAATTATGAATAGAGAAATCTATTCAAGGTATTGTGCTATTTTTCTTGGTTATGAATCTGCCCAGAATATCAGTATCTGCAATATTCTTAGTCATCTGGGTGTAATGGGGAGAGAGGGAGGAGTAATTTGTGAAGGAAGGATTAAAAACTCTACCTGGGCCTTTTAGCCACCCAGACTCCAGTGGCGTGGATCAAACAGCCAAAAATGCTATACACTGTTCTTGGCTATTTCTATAATTTTTCTTTTGTTGGATCCCACTTTGGCTTCGGGAGTTATGTATGTCTGGGAAACTGACACTGCAAAGTTCTGGCTTGTTCCCTGCCCCGATGCTAAGGGATAAATATAGATCTCAACCACTACAGAAATTTGGCCAGGATTCCAAGGGATGTGTGTGTGAGGGGCAGCGACTGATGGGGCCATTCTGACATGTGGTCTAGAAAAAGGCTTCTTTATGTTCAAGACCCTCTTTGGTGTAGGGAAAGGTAAAACTGAAGCCTGGCCTCTAAAATCAAGACCCATAATCCACATTTTCAGGAGCTCCTGGGTTGACATGGATAAATATTGTAGATGGCTTGGTGTGTGTGTGGGATGGGGAGAGCGAAGGGATTCTTTCTTGACACCCTAGATCCTTTTGCATGAGATCAGCCTTATGAAAAAAGAAAGTTATTCTTGGCCATCTCCCTTCACCCCCAACTCCCACTCATGCCCCACCTCCTGCACACACTGATATCCAACTCTCAATTGAGAAGAACACAATTTAAGATTTCCATTGGGCCCATAGTATCTCAGGTACTAGAGAAGGGCAGGGGGTGGGAAGAGACATGAATTGGGGAGAGGTGAGTTGTTCATCCTTGTGACCCAGAATATCTCCCCCTCCCTGTAATGATGAGCTTGCTTTTCCATAGGGCTTTCCTTTGATTCAGGAAAGGGGCCAACCAATGAGAGAGGGGCATGTTAGATTATTTTGGGGAAGGACTTATGCCAGGAGGGTTCACTTTTACTAGGCAGCAAGTGGCCCCAGCAACCAGTGTCTCCTGCAGAAGCTTCAGAACTCTCACCCACTTGCCTGCTTCTGCTTTGCCTTTACCCACTGAACAGCTATGAGAAGGCAGCTCCGGTCCAGAAGGGCTCCAGTCTTTCCTCACAGTTATCGCTACAGACTTGTGAGTCCCAGGGAACAGGATATTTTGCTGCTTCTTTTTAGTGGGGTGGGGTGGGGGTTGTGTAGGTCTTGGCTTGTGGCTTCTTCTCCTTTGGATAGCAAGAACAGTGAAGTTTAAGGAAGCACATAATTTCAAGAGCCAGCAGTGACTCCCAGCATTCCATTTCACCCTAAATTTCTGGGTTGAAACAGGAAGCCTCTCTTCCTATGGAAGAAAGATAAGGGAAAGGGAAGATGCCAGATAATGAGAGGAAATTTTTCTTCTGAGCTTAGAATTTGAACAAACATTTTGGAGTTTGGGAGTAAAGGTTTCGTTCTGATAGCAGGAAATTTAACCAAGAGAGAGGGGAAGGGGAGGAGGAAATGAAAGGCACTGCCTACCCAGCTGTCTCAGTCTCTTTGGGTGGTAGCTTCTTAGAAATCCAGCTTCTCTTTTACTAAGGTAGAAATTCCAAACTATAGCTAAAATCATAGAATCCTAGATAGAAGCTGGTAGTAATCCTAGACATCATTTCTCCAGAACCCCTCATTATGTAAAAGAGGCTTCTGGGGCTCAGAGCACAGGAGTGACTTGATAATTAGTGGAAGAACCAAGGTGAAAATGCAAGTTTTCTCACTTCTAATCTTGTGCTCTTTACATTATACTTGCAGTATGCAACTCCCCAACCCTCTGACCCTCCACCACCCATTGCCATCCTGCCACACACACACACACACACACACACACACACACCCCTTTGATGCCACCATTTATCACCAGAGTGCATTACACATTTTTTGAACCCAAAGTTTCTTTACATTTACTTTGCTATAATTCATTAATATATGCCACACACAGTACTTTTTTTTGAGGGGAGGTATATTTTGAAATTTCCCCCCAAAGAGGATTTCTATCTGAGCCCCAGGAGGAAATAAAGCTTAACCCATTTTTCTTTGGGAATTGCCACTTATATAATCACAGAGTTGAGTAAAGACAGCCAGCAGAGGAAAACATAAATTATTCTAATGTTATATACACCTAAGAAGGGCTTCCCTTAACTTTCGAGCCACAATTTGTAGAATCTTTCTTTTGACATCCCAAAATTCCTTCCAGCTCTTACAGTAGTCACAATCTGCAGGGCATATATAACTGTTCCTTACTTGACTTCTTTTCTGTGTAATGTTGCTAAAGTGTTGTATATAATTTCAATGATTTGTCAACTGGTTTGTATTTTCTTCTTGTTTATTTATTTTTATTTTTCAATTACAATTTACATTCAATATTATTCTGTATTATTTTCATATGTACAACATAGTGGTTAGATAGTCATGTACTTTACAGAATGGTCCCTCGTTATTTCCAGTACCTATCTGGTCCCATACATAGTTATTACAATATTAATGACTACATTCCCTATGCTATAATTTACATCTCTGTGACTATTCTGTAACTACAAATTCATACTTCTTAATCCCAATTCCTTCACCTTTTGTACCCAGTCCCTCAACACCCCTTCCCGCTGTCAAGCATCAGTCTGTTCTCTGTATCTATGAGTCTGTTTCTGTTTTGTTTCGATTTGGATTTTCAATGCATCAGGGGATCTAGCTCTTTATAAAGAAAACAATAAAATTTAAAAATTTTTTAAATTGAAAATTATTTGATACAGTGAATAATTGTGGGCTAATTTCTCTTTGAAAATTAACCAATCGTTTTTTAAAATTTATTTTTATTACTGACAGTATTACAGATGTCCTCCATTTTCCCCTTTTGCCCCCCTCCACCCAGCCCCTGCCCTACCCCAGGCCTTCCCTACGCTATTGTCTGTGTCCATGAGCTATTGTTCAAATGTTTACAGGGTATTACTCAATGCAGTACACAAATTTATCCTTTGGGTCATACTGTTTGTTATATATTTGTTATATGTTTATATATTTAGAGTTCTCAAAATGGAGCCACCCGCTGTCCTTCAGATTCTTTCCTTTTAGGGCAACATGATGGCCCCAGCACACACCCACTGTTATATCCCAGCACACTCACACTATCACATGAGGGCAGTGCTACTTTAGGAAACTGACAAAAACAGACCCTCTCATTACCAAAGGATTCCCTACTGGATTCCATTAAATAGTTAGTTGCACAAAAGCACCTCTCTTCCACATAGTGAGGTTCCCCTGTACCTGGAAGCAAGGTAGAGGGAAAAGATATTTGAGGTTCTTGATATTGAGGCATCGTGAGAGCTGTGGGGAAATCAGCTCTGAAAAGGTTAATTCTTCCCTCGAGGGTAAAGCTTTAATGACAAGTCATCTTTAATAGGATTATCATGAGAGTTCATATCTACAAATAAGATCAGGCCGAGGTCAAGGCCAGCTGCCTCCTCTGTGGAGCAGAGGTGGAGGGCAGGCATATAGGCAACAAGGAGAGAGAAGAAAGTTGTTCAGAAAATATAAAGGGAATATAAATTCCCCATAATGAAATGTTACATTTCAAATTCTCTGAGATTTTCAGTTGCAGTAGATTCTCTGGGGGCCATGATGACTACCCACTGCAGTCTACATGACTGCTGAGGTTAGAGTGACAAGTTCTGTGAGAGCATTTCCCCAGAGTCAGACAGTTGCTATTGACATTTATTAATTACCCACTGGTTACTTAGCTGTGGACTTTACAGTGTGGTGGGCCATCAAGGTGTTAGAATATAGACCCTGGCCCCTGGGTGCTCAAAATACACTTTGGGAGGTCAAATGTGTACATACGTTCACACCCAAGTGAGATATAAGAACATTTATTAATCCATTCAACATTGAATAATGGAGTTTATTTTCCTAAGCCTTACTTTGCAAGTCCATGTCAGAGTCAGAAATTCTCAATTATAAGCACTTACTATATTTTGGAAACATAGAATCTAACATACTATTGTTCTCCACAAATCTGCTAAATCACCTTTAGGCACTTGTGCTCAATGTGACAGAGGAGAAACATTATTGTCTAGAGCAGTGGTTCTCAACCTTCTGGCCCTTTCAATACAGTTCCTCATGTTGTGACCCAACCATAAAATTATTTTCGTTGCTACTTCATAACTGTAATGTTGCTACTGTTATGAATCGTAATGTAAATATCTGATATGCAGGATGGCCTTAGGCGACCCCTGTGAAAGGGTCGTTTGACCACCAAAGGGTCGCGACCCACAGGTTGAGAACCGCTGGTCTAGAGTATCAGGAGATAAAAGTTCTGGGACTGACAATTCTATCATGAACTTGCTGTGTGGCTCTGTTTAGAGCTTGTTCCCTCTTTGAGCCTCAGATGGACAAGTGAATCTCCAAGGTTACTGTCAGTTTTGATATAGTGTGTGATATAAAGCTGTACATTTGAACAAATTAGGGAGTAATTCCAGAGTGCTTATAATCAAGAGTTACATAGGGCTGGGCAGACTGAATGCTGAGTAGAGCCTTATCATTCTATATCACTTTTACTGATTCTGAACAATCTAATTTTCTGAGGCCTCTCCCCATTAATGGCATAATTTTTAATTGAGTGTCCTCTAAATGGCCTTTGAGGAATCGAGCAGGGAGGGGGCAGCATGGAGCCCCTGGCCTCTATCATTCAACACTTTCAACCCCAACAGGTGCACAGGCCCCGCCACTCTGCAGATTTGGACAGTTAGAGAGAAGGGAGGGCGACCTCATTTTCTGCTGCTGCAGTGAGCCTTGGCAGATCCACAAAGAACAAAGATCCAACTCTCTGGCCTGTGGCTGGGAGGCATTTGAAATACCATTTGGTGAAGTCTGGGTTTTTTTCCCCTTAGAACCACTCAGAGAATATTACAGTTTCAGATCTCAAGTAATGGCTGTAATCAGTCAATCAACAAATATGTGCTGAGCACTTACTACGTGCCCAGATTTTTGCCTAGCGTATAGGGTTTGGGAGGGATGGAGACTAAGGAAGTGTCAGTTGGGGTACTAGCCCTCAGGTGGTCTTTTAAATCAGCTTAAGACAGAAAGAAGTTCCAGACCAGGCAACAGTCAGAGAAGCAGCAAATAGCAACCCCCACCCCCATCACTTGTTTCTGTTGGGAGTTGGGAAGGCAGTCTACATTTTGAGAAGGGGTATAGCAATTGGCTTCTCCACTTGATTTCTATCCAAGGCTATTTTTAGCCACAACTTGGGATGGTGAGGTGGAGCAGCTGAAAGTGTACAGGGTGTTAAAATAAAGCTGGTATGGACTGAGAATTTACCATCACAGACACAAATGTCTAAAACTACTCCATCCTCCAGCATTGAGCTCATCTCTGTCCTGACAAGCCAGACAAAGTGAAGCAGGAGGCCAAGGCCCCAGGACAGAATAATGATACAAGCAGTCCTGGAGGAAGAGCCTAAATACCTAAAGCTGAGAATAAAACTTATACCTCTATGGAAAAGATATTGAATCAAAATGGTCATAGAAAGGACATTTCTTTCAAAAGAACAGAGAGAAAGGAAATATCTCTTGTAACAATGGGTATGTTTATGGGGAAGTAGAAATTTGAAGTATCTCTAAATATTAAGTCGTTTTCCATTTATATTTGGCTGGTGGGATGTGCCACTGGAAATTTTTTTCAAAGAGGGGATTGTTTTGTCACTGTTCCAGGATGATCAGGATGAAGTGAATCAGAACTACTTAGCAGATGAAGAGGAAGAAGCAGAAGAAGAGGCTCGGGTGATGGTGGTACCCAATTTGGAGGAAGAGGAGGAGGAAGAGGAGGTGAAAGAAGAGGAGGAAAAGGATGAGGAAGAGGGTCAGGGTCAGCCAACAGGCAACACCTGGTGGCGGAAATTGCAGATCATGAATGAGTACCTGTGGGATCCGGAGAAAAGGATGTCTCTGGCCCGAACAGGTCAGAGTTGGAGTAAGTCCCAGTTGTCCCAGTGCCCCACTAAAGTGTCCTTTCCTTTTGGCTTGGTGTACAGGACTCGTTTACCATATGTTGGATGGGCTTGTCTGCAAACTTTTCTTAGGTATCATGTAAAAGGATCAATGCTTAGGGAAATGTCTGGACTATGGGCAGATGCCATCAGAACAAACTCCAAGTGGGTGAACAATATTGACTGTATGGCTGAAATCTTCTGGGTTCAAAAACATTTGCAATGCAGAGAGACAGTAAGAATGAATTGGAAAGCACAGACATTTGTAAAAGTCTCAGCTCTGTCACTTTCTGTGTGACCTTGGGTTTATATTTACCCTCACTGAACTTCAGTTTCCTCACCCACCAAATGAAAGAACAATCCCTTTCTTGCCTCTCTCACAGCATCAGCATGAGGCTCCAACAAGATGTTATCATTGTAAAGTTGAAAGTACTCTGAAAACTACTTCTAGGATATGAGACTCAAATCCCTGCTAACCTGACCAAGGATTTATAAAGCCTCATAATTTCACCTAGAAATATCAGAGAGTCAGGAGGCCTGCCCCTAAACCCAGCTTTTTTGGTGGTTTACACTCCCATGATGTACACAGAGAAATTAGGTTTGAAAGGATAATTTCTAGAGATTAAGGCTGAGCCCCCACCCACATCCCTTGATCAATAGCAGAATCACATTTTTAGTATTTCCTCTTTGAATCACATGCTGCCACCACTTCCACTTCACAACTCCCCCAGCACTCCTCTCCCAGGGTCCTACTCACCTCTTAAACTATTAGTGCTGAGCCTTCTCCTCAGGAGATTTTGCCTGTGGTCAAATTCACACTTGCCACACTCTCTGTGCAGCCCAGAAAAAGAGCAGCTGCTGGTTTGGAGAAGAAAAAAAAAATAGAGAACACCATGGATGAAATAAGAGTTCCCTAGTGCCAAGGGTCTAAGTTGCTGAAGTTGATGGTCATGACTTCTAGAGGCCCTTTGGCTGAGAATTCTCTCCCTCATCATTTATGTTTCTAATTCAGGTCAGTTAGGGTGCAGTCAGGGTGAAGCTAGTCCTGCTTCCTGGAATTAGGAATAGCAAGTGTGGGACTCTGAAGAACGTCCACCTCCCTTCACCCTTCCTCAGTTCTCAACCCCACCCCTGTATATCCCTCAAATGCTCAACTGGAACAAATGTACCATTCAGGGAACATTCCAACATTCTGAAGCTGCAAACAAATGCTGGACACTCACTGGGGCTCCAAAGGGGGCACAGCTGTTTCTCCCTTGTTTAAAGAGGACTGAAAAATCAGGCCTTGTGAAAAGCAAGTGTGATTCTGGGAGAGGATGCCTACATTAACCCCCAAGTAGCCAGCAATTGGAACTTAATCAGATGAGCTTATTCAACTTGCTCCCGTGGAGAACAAGTGATAGGCCAGTAAAAAGGAATGAGGGAGGAAGGTTCAAGTGTCCAGGGAAGATATGGCAGTGGGGACACTGCACAGTAGGCCCTATCCAGGCCTCTGGGTGCAGGTCTAAGGACAGTCCAGGAATTTTGGCTTCTGTTCAGCTACCCCTGAGCAAAGGGAAAATAGTGATCCTAATGTTTAGGCCTCCAAACATACGCCTTGCTGCCCTCTTGCTTGAGAACTAGGTGTCCACTTGAGCTTGTACAGCAACATGACCAACATAATCACCCACCTATTATTATAGCACTAGGGGCCCAGTGCACAAATTCGTGCACCTTGAAAGGAACTATGGGCTGCAAGATTGCGGTAGGCACAGGGGCGGGTCTCAGCTCATCCTCCAAGACCCCACCGGGACCCTCCCGCTGTGGCCCCTGGTCCCCTATCTGCCTGCAGCCCTGCTCCCGCTGCTGCTGCTTGGCCCACTCACACCTGCTGAACGTGTGGAGCAATTGGGGCTGGCGTAAGCAGCAGGTGCAGGCAGCGGCTGCTGCCCCAATCACCCCTCAGGAACAGGGGGAGGTGGAGAAGCCCTCAAAGGCAATCAGGCCTGGCACCAGGCACTGCAGCAGGTGCGAGTGGGGCCAGCACCAGCAGCAGGTGCGAGTGCCAGGCAGGACTGTGCCACATGGGAGCAAAGAATTTTGAGTAACCACCAGAGGCTCACCCTGATGACAGTGACTGGCACTCCGCCTTGGTCTGGCGCCCCCCGCTCACCTGACCATCTTGCCGCGGCCGACACCTGCCATGTTCCATCCGCACTCTGCTGCCTGCTGCCAACACTTGCCATGTTCTGCACACTCCCCCTGGTGGTCAGCACATGTCATAGCGACTGGTTGTTCTGCCGTTCAGTCTATTTGCATATTAGGGATATCTATCTATCTATCTATCTATCTATCTATCTATCTATCTATCTATCTGCTTTTCTTTTGGTAGCTGGGCAACCTCTATTCTTAGGAACTACATGTTATTTTATTGGATACTGACAAGAACCATTTGAGGTAGTAATATTATTATCCCCATTTTACAGATGCAGAAACAGGCTTAGAGAGGGTAATTTGTTTAAAGTGACAGAGTTGATAAGTGACAGTGCCGAGAGTCAAACCCAGATTGGATGAACACTGGGACTCATTCTCTTGCCAGAACACTGCACCATCTTCATGAACTGTGGCAATGAGCAAGGCCCTGATGGGTAGGGCCTCAGGAACTGATGGGGGTGTTTTGGTGGGAGGAGTGAAGAGTTGTGATCATGGGTACCTAGTCTATCCAAGATATCCAGGTCTACCCATACTTGGGTGGAGCATTCAGAAGAGAGCCTTGGATTGCCTATAGGAGTGGCCAATTAAAACTTGGACATCCAGAGTAGAAAGGGTTGATGGGGTCAATGAGTTCAGATGGGTATGGTGCTTTTTTTTGCCTGTGGCTGAGATTCCAGGGCACAGATTCCTTTTTAAGGCTGAGAGGACTCATTGCTAGTGCCATTCACACATTGTAGGCAGGAAGGAAGATGTTTCCAAGGGAGTTTACCTGTATTCTATTGCTCTCCTTTCATCCATGCAACTGTCTTCCAGTCCTTGAGCATGGCTTCAGCTGTTGATCCATTCCTAGGATGGAGATGAGGGTAAAGGAATGGAGGAGATGGCACAGGGCACATCCCATTAGAACAGCCACTAGTCAGTAGCCAAGTATCACAGGCACACAGGTGCTATTTCTTCTCCAGGGACTCCAGCTGAATCAATGTGTTCATGTTCCAGTTCTGCTTTAGTTTATCTTATAAAACATAGAGGTTCCATTTCTAGTTGGATTACTAAGGATTTTTTTTCTCCTTCTCCAATCATCTTTGGTTAATTATTTGGTTCATGGTTCAATTTAAAAATTAATATTTGGAATCGGGTTTGGGTATAGCAAAGTTATGTGGTTTGTTCCAGTTTCTGGTTCATGATTCAGTTCAAATGTGTAGTTCCAACATCATGTCACTGTTGTGAGCAGAGCCAGATATTGTTGGCTGAAAGAGCCCAAGGAGGACTTGGAAAGAGCTTCTCAGCAACAATTTCACTCTTATTTACCTCACTCTGTGCTGCCTAATCCTGGGCAAAGCTAATTCTAATATAGCCCACAGAGGAGGAATTCACACACTTATGCTTCTGGTCCTATAGTAATAATAATATTAATAATAGTAATGATGAAGACTGTCATTTATAGAATACTTGGTATCTGCCAGGCTGTGCTATGCTATTTATGTGCATTATTCAAGTGCTATTATTGTCCTCATTTTACATATGAGAAAATTGAGGTTCAGATGTCTAAGATTAAATAGTTAGGAAGTTGTAAGGTCAGGATAGGATATAAGGAAATACTGAATTTCAGATACAGTAGTCCCCCTTATCTTCAGGGTATACATTCCAAGACTCCCAGTGGATATGAACCCTATATATACTAAAATTTTTTCCTGTACATACATACCTATGATAAAGTTTAATTTATAAATTAAGCACAGTAAAAGATTAACAATAACTAATAATAAAATAGAACAATTATAATAATACTGGAGGCTTGATGCGTGAAATTCGTGCAAGAGTAGGCCTTCCTTTCCTTGGCTGCTGGCACTGGCTTCCCTCTGACACCCGGGACCTGGGCTTCCCTCACAGCCCAGGCTTCATCCGGAAGGACATCTGGTCTAATTAGCATATTATGCTTTTATTATTATAGATACTATAATAACAGTTATGTGAATGTGGCATTATTAAATAAAATAAGGGTGACTTGAACACAAGCACTGTGATACTGTGACAGAAGTTTTGATAACCAACACAGCTACTAAGTGACTAATGAGTGCATACCATATACAGTGTGGATAGCTTGAACAATGGGATGATTCATGTCCTGGGCAGGATGGAGCTGGATGGTGTGAGATTTCATCATGTTACTCAGAATGGTGCACATTTCAAAACTTATGAATTGTTTATTTTGGGAATTTTCCATTTAATATCTTTGGACCACGGTGTTGGCCATGGGTAACTAAAACCATGGAAAGCAAAACCGTGGATAAGTGGGGACTACTGTACTGATACAAATATGGAGAAGGATATGAGGTAAGTGCTAACCTTATTCCCATTTTACTTATGAGGAATCTTGGGTGCAGAGAGGTTCTGTAACTTGCCCAAGCTCACAGGTTAGAACTCACAAGTAGCAAGTGCCAATAATTAAGCATAGTTTCTTACTCTTCCCTTTCCTGTCCTGTGCTAGTGTTCTTTTTGAAAAGCAGAGCCACTGAAACTTTTGCTAAAGATGAATAAGATACAAGATAAATAGGGTGAAACCTCACTTTACCTTGACTAGGGGCAAGTCCCATGGAAATTAATCAAAAGTTTAAATTATAGGCTATGTGACAATAAATGCTGTTTCCATCCATTGTAAATACATATAATCACTGGAACCAAGCTTCTAGGACTCTTCAGAGCACCTGCTTTAATGAATAGTGAAGAATGATTTGTACTTAGGACATCAACTGTTGCCCAGAGGACTCCTAAGCAATTTACTCACTGCAGTACTTTAAACTCTATTCTGTAATCTTGTTCATGGTTATCATTTGCTCAGCAAGTCCTTCCATCAAAGATGCTGTAGGGTAAACTGCAATCAGACCTCTGACACAATTCTCACCAATTCCAAATTGGTGAAATCTGAATGAGCAAAGAAGGATATACTGAATCTGGGGCATTTTAAAAAAAGCCATCTCATATGTTTGGATTGGTTCTGGTTCATAAATTCAAGTGAGGAGGCAGAATCTGTTGGCAAGCACTGACCACTTTCATCTCTGATTGTTCTGCAGGCTTGATCTTAGTCATTTACTTCTTCTTCTACGCCTCCCTGGCTGCTGTGATCACTCTCTGCATGTACACGCTATTTCTGACCATCGGTCCTTACATGCCAACATTCACTGAGAGGGTGAAGCCTCCTGGTGAGTGCCCAAATGCCCTGTGTTATCAGAACTTGCTGGACAGAAATCTGCTTGCACAGCATGTTTAGCCTCAATTAACTTTGGCTCTTCCCAGTAATGACTTAGGGATTCAATTATTAAGAGTAAAAGTAAATTGGTACTTGGCAAATTATGATCCTTTTCATTTTGATTGCCTGGGGGGAAATGGTTTCATGGGAATCAATACCAAAAAATTATCCCAAGAATGGGTTAATATATCCAAGACCTGTTTTCATTGCCAGGAGTTATGATCAGACCCTTCGCCCATAGCCTTAACTTCAACTTCAACGTTTCTGAACCTGACACTTGGCAGCATTATGTGATTAGCCTAAATGGCTTTCTCCAGGGTAAGTAAGTTCCTCTGAATGGTGCAAACCTCTTTGGAAAGGTTGTGGGTGGGAATTCAAAATTCAGCTGACCCACTCTTACTAACCCCAGCCCACTCCTTACCTTGCATCTCCCTCAGAACCTGTAGATACATTCAAAACTGCTCTAATTTATGGTTGTTTGTTTCCTGGAAAACATATAAGCCAACTTCCCAGCAATCCGATAAGTCAATTGGGGCAGAGAAATTGTCTTCTCTTCTTGAACACCCTACAACACCTAGTTATGTCCTGGGCACATCCAGATGGCTCAATACTGATCGGTTATTAGAATATAATTGGGGGGGGGGGGTTGGTGGTGAGAAAAGAAGAATGTTCTCCACAACTGGAAGGTCCCTATCTCTTACACTTTCTCAAGGTAAGATAATTCATTTCTTGGAGTTGGGCCATCTTGAAGTAAGAAAGTAAGGGTCTTTATTTAACAGCATTCCAGAGGGAGTTAGAGGAAGAAACTCTGGGTAACAGTTACTCCTACATTTTAATCAGAAGTGTTTTCAAGATGCCTATGTCTATAGTGTCATCATATACATTTTCAGTAACTAATGAATGGCTTTTTGAAAAGCCCTTCCACAGGTTGAAAACTGAGGTAGCAGCTTGGTTAGAGTTAAACACAGAGCACACAACCTCTGTATTTATCCAGCTATGAAAGAGGAGCTCCAGTGAGTTTACATTATTGACCTATGATTTGTGGGGGAAAAGCCAGTTAGACTAATTTGGTTGAACTGGCCTGGCTGAAATGGGAGGGGGTGAGGTGGGAGTGGCCAGTAGAATGTGCACTGAATTAAGAGGAAAACAATTTCTTATGTGATAGAAAGTGTTCATTAAATGAATAAATTTTTTCATTTAATTTTAACCCTGCATAGCAGAGTGTATTGTCTCATTTTACAAATGGGGAAACTGAGGCTCAGAAAGGGGGGGGTAACATGATCAAAGTCTCCTAGCAGAACCAGTGTTTTAAACCCACGTCCATGTTCTTGACACCCTTGGTACTCAAAGCATAATCCAGGGACCAGTTACATAAGCATCCCTTTGTTAGAGTTTGTTAGAAAGGCAGAATCTCAGGCCCACCCCAGACCTGTTGAATAAGGACCTGCATTTCAACAAGATCCACGGGTCACTTTGTATGACCTTTAAAACTTGAGAAGTGCTGCTTTTCATAATTCTTTGCTGCTGGCATATGACCAAGAATTAGAAATTCAGTTTTGTATAAGTAATACTGGTGTTATTTTGGGTAACTCTAAGTTTCAGATGGCTGGGTTCTTTCAGAGTCTATGTAGTTCAATTTTTGACCCCCCAAATGTCTTGGACATCATAGCCAGCACAATATCTTCTTTACTTTCAAAATGCTTGTGAGCTACTGCAAATGCACTGCTGGAATCTTGGCTGAGGAATTTCCTGAGAAGCTAATAGATGGAGAAATACCACTTCTGACCTGATGACAGAAGTGGAGGACATTAGGAAAAGCATTGGGGTTTTTTTTTGTTGTTGTTCCTAAGCATAGATAATGTACCCTGTTTAAAAGGAACACATCTCTGAAATAGAAATCCCAGAGTATCAATTTCATTCCCACGAGGACTGGGATTTTGCAATACGGGTCATGCCCATGTCACATTATTTTTTATGGAACTACCTCAAGAGAAACAATGAGCACATGATTAGAGCTTCTATTTAGAAAGTTATTTGAACATAGTTCTTGCTCTAAAAATATGATTAAAGCAAGACCTTGAATTGAATGTAGCTTTGTCCGAGGAATAATAAAGGCTTAGCCATAACTGGAATAGATTTAAAATTCCCAGTTGCTTCCTAATAATATAAAACCCAGGTCACAACCTGTCTAGATGAAGATCCAGCAGTACGTTTAGAGTTTTACCTTCGGTAGATCATAGGTACACAATCTCCTCTGAAAAAACTGAGCTACTTGGAACATGAATGCACAGGGGCTAGATCTAATAGGACTAACATTATCATTTTGAACCAAATTTGAACTAATGCAGTAACTTCCAAAGCCTAGATCTATGACATCTAGTAGCCCAAAAAAGTCAGCTCACAGCCCCTTTCAGCTCTCTTCCTGACAAGTGTACCTTGGACACATGTTACATTCCATTCAATGTAACATTCCATTACATTGCTTCAGGTCTCAGTAGACAAGATCTCACGCCCTCACCCTCTAAATCAGCGGTTCTCAACCTGTGGGTCGTGACCCCTTTGGCGGTTGAACGACCCTTTCACAGGGGTCGCCTAAGACCATCCTGCATATCAGATATTTACATTACGATTCATAACAGTAGCAACATTATAGTTATGAAGTAGCAACAAAAATAATTTTATGGTTGGGTCACAACATGAGGAACTGTATTTAAAGGGCCAGGAGGTTGAGAACTACTGCGTCTAAATGGAGATGCTATGGTTGTCATTGGCTTCTGTCTTTCAACCTAAGCTTCTATTTTGTAGTGCTAACTTCCCTTTGTAAAGAATGAGGAACTTTATTTCCTCCTCCTCCTTTTTATCCTCCTCTTCCTCCTCTTCTTCCTCCCCCTTCACCTGTCTCACAACACACACTTCTCACTCTCTTGCATCAGGTGCCTCTCATTGACCTCAAAGGGATATGTCTATTAGGTTGAGCTTAAGGAGATTTAACACAGGAGCTTTGCTGTCTCTTATATGCCATGCCTTGACCTGATGCAGTCCCTCTTCCAAAATCTGCCTACTATGTGCCTATTCCCTTCCCAGAAGTAGAAGAGGTGGGTAAATTTACAATTTACCATATCTGAAAAGAAATGATGAAAAGTAGAAGTTATAAAGTGACCCAGAGATGGATAGCCAAAAGTTCTGAGGAAATGAGAAGCAAGAGGGCAGTCAATCAAAGTGGGCTGAGGGGAATAACCTAGAAAGCATCCTGGAGACATGTTGCTGATGAAGGGCCTTGACCTGATGCCATGTCACGGGGCCTACGACAGATTGAACAGGCTTTCTGAGAAGCACAGGCAAGCCGGAGAAAGGAAACTAGGGAGGAGGACTACTGAAAACATGGTCTTTCCATGTAGCACCCATCTAACATGTCTTCTTGCTACCCACACACACTTTAGGTTATAATGACAGTCTTCAAGAGGAAATGAATGTAGATTGCCCTCCAGGGCAATACTTCATCCAAGATGGAAATGAAGATGAGGACAAGAAGGCCTGCCAATTTAAGCGCTCCTTCCTGAAGAATTGCTCTGGCCTGGAAGACCCTACTTTTGGCTACTCTACTGGACAGCCCTGCATCCTTCTAAAGATGAACCGGGTATATTGGCCCTTGACAATCTGGCGATAAGTGGATAAGCTGGATAGGAGGGCTCTGGACACTCCATTTCTCTTTGGCTCTGTCTTCACACACTGCCAATTTGGCCATTTTTACTGACAGCATCAGTAACATAAACAACCGGAAAAACTATCAAGCAATAATTCTTTTTTTCTCCTTGGACATTCCCCATTTCCATTCTTCTACCACACCCCCAAACCTCCCCCGCCCCCTTTGATGCCTTCTGTCAGGAATGAGATCCTGAGCTGTTTGGAAAAAAGGATTGATATGGGGTGGGGTGAGGGACAATTCTCATATCAAAATAAATGCATTTTCCTTCTCTCCTGCCATGTCTTAGAGGTGTGGCAAAGCCTTACCAGGCACTCCCCTATTGAAACCAGAAAGTTAATTACACCTTCAGGGTTTTCTTACTGCAATTACAACTGTATGAATGTCAGGCACAAATATAAGGCATAAGCTGAGCTGTACAGCTCTGAAGATATTTTACATTTTTTGCTTTTTGTAACATTTGTGAGAGGTCAGAATACATTAAACTTATGCCTAAGGAAGGGATGACTTAGAGGGGACTTATAAAAGCCCCATTTTTACTATCAAACCTGTTTTGCTTTTTTGTTTTTGTTTTTTAAAAAAACACGCTGATTTTCTTTTGACAGATTGTAGGTTTTCGTCCTGAGCTTGGAGATCCTGTGAAAGTTTCCTGCAAAGTTCAGGTAAAGTGACTTTTTGAGTAAGCATTGCTAGCACATCTATTTCATGCAAAAAGGTGGCTCATACTTTCCAAGGCTTTACTGTGGATGGTTCACTATGGGTTAGGGGAAGGGTTAATCTTTTCAAAACTACATCTCCCTTTAGTAATTTCAGGCCTTCCTATTTCCAGAAAGCATTCATTTCCTGTGTGTTCGTGGTGTGTGTGTGTGTGTGTGTGTGTGTGTGTGTGTGTGTGTGCGCGCGCGCGCGGGCGCGCGCACTGATTTATACCTGTGAAAGCCAAAGATTGAACCTCAGCTAAGGGCCACAGCAGGGAATAATGATGTGCCAAGTCATTAATTGAGATTCTGTTTACACTTTTGTTTTTTGATCTAATTACTTGTTTCTTTGAACTAAACAAACAGCTTTTATTAGAGTCATTAGTCACTGCTTTTAAAACTGAATTTCACTTTTTGTAGCAATGGCCAGGGCACTGGTGTTGCAATAACAAATGACCACAAGGGAGTGTAAACAGAACTCCATTAATATGCTAATTAACTGTCCTTGGAGGGACCATTAACTCCTATCTCATCTGCCCCAATTAGCTCCTTTGTAGGAAAAAGCCCTAGATCTGGGATTTGCTTCTTAAATTGGCAGTAGCTCCCTCCTGTTTGACAGCATCAACTGTATCTCAAGCCCTGGACAATTGTCTTGCAATTGTGTGAAGCCAGGTAATGCCATTTTCAGTAGTAGAAATTCAGCTCAAAACCCTAGTCTTGATGGTGGCAGATCAGAAAGCAGTAAAGGCAGCATTTACTGGTCACTTATTATAGATCAGGTACTTTGCTAGGTGTTGGGAGTGCAAAGATAAATATGACTCCCTGAAATCAGGGCAATTAAGTATTACAGGTGCTATGAAAGGTGCAGTGGGAGCTTTGACGTGGAGGATGGTGATGCTGAAGATGAGCTTTGAAAAGTCAGGCCTTGTTTGCCAGGTTGAACAGGTAGAAAAATATTCATTTTGCTCACATGCATGTGATTATGTGTAAATAAATATACAGACATGTGAGGCATGACCATAAACTAGTAGAATTGATTCCACATACCATTCACAAAAATGAATTTCATAGCCCTTTAGAATAATATGTAACTAAATCATAAAGACCAACTCTGTCTGAAACTAGTATATTAATTGAATGGAAGCCATTCATTTTTCAGCTTACATCAAACCTCGCTGAAAATGTTCTTTCATTTAAAAAAAGAAATATTAAGGGTCTTTATGCATTCTATAATAATCAATACTGGTCAATCTACACCCACTTGTGGAAATCAAGCAGGATGAGGTAATTACTAGAATACATTAAGGAAAACTGTTTATACTAAGAACAATTATACTGTATTGAAAGAAGTCATCACATGACCCTAGTGAGTGATTTCCTAGTAGTGATACACAATTTGTCCCTTATTAGCCCCCAGACTTCTGCTATTTAGGGCAAGACTAATGCATAGGCAGAATGGGCAATCCCCTACCTGGCATGATATTATGAGGGTAGTCTTGTTTACTTAATCTAGTACTGGGCCCTGCTTGCTTATCCTCTCGACTTCACCTACTGTAATTAAGCACGACAGAAAATGTGATCAGAGACATGAGTTTAGGTAAGGCAACTATAGGCTGTATCCCTGTGCACCTGGTCTGACTTCCAGCAGAACCAAATCCACAGTGGGTAAGTTGTTGTGGGTGGGATTTACTAAACATGTTCCAACTTACAGGCGCCTCAGCTCCAAAATCCAACATTGGGAGCCAGGCCCAATATGATTCTTTGAGCAGGGGCTGGCATGGTTAAGTCCTCTTGCCAGAGAAGCACCAGGTACTGCAAGCCCTTTGGAGCCCTTCTGCCTGGGTCTCCTAGGAGCCAGCACAGAGCCATACTGAGCATCTTCAGCCTCCTCAGTTCAGGCCTGCTAGTCAGTATTTTTTGAACTGAAAAGCCAAGGCACAATCTCTTCCTGGAAATGGTTCTCTGGGGATAGGTCTGGGTTGAGCTTTGTCTCATTCTGCTTCCATGGTCTTCTTGGGAGAGGTGGTTGTGGGACTCACAGTGATTTCACCTGGGGCATAGGTCCCTTTAGCTCAGGCTCCAACCAAGTGACCCAGAATCCCATATATGCCTGCTTTTACTTACAGAGAGGTGATGAAAACGACATCCGATCCATCAATTACTATCCAGAGTCGGCTTCTTTTGACCTCCGCTACTACCCTTACTACGGCAAAATGACTCACGTAAGCGTGTATCCCCTTCAGTCTTTGCTGTCAAAAAGGGCTCAGAGGCAAAGGAAAAGCTGGCTGGGATCTATGAGAGTTAGGGAGCAGAGAGTAGTAACAGAAAGGTGAACAGCTGCTGGCCAATACCAGGAGCACACCCTACCAATTCCTATCACAACTACTCCTTTCCATATCTAAAGGAATCTCAGATATAGTGTGGTCTAATTCCCTCAGTTTACAGATAGAGAAACTAGGGTTCTGAGAGAGGAAGTAACTTGCCCAATGTCACATAGCATTGTGACAGAGCCAGGAGCAAACAAATCACTGCCATTGCACTAAATTATGCCCAATAATCTCACTTCCCTTTCTCCCATTGAGGCCTTGGGGTAGTGAAAGCTTCTTCTCTAGCATAGAAACTTGACAGATAGTTCCCGTTTGATTCATGGTTTGATATCCAGGAAATCATACCGTACTGAGTTAGAACTGGTTTTCCCCAGAGGACAATCAAACATCTGACAGTGACTTATGAGAGAAATATGTAATTTCCCCACTGTCTGAGGGCAGAAAGAGCATGTCATTTGCTTTAGCCATTTGTGTCTTAGAATCATGGGATTTACTCAGTTCTCTTTTGGAGGTTATCCCATCCTGCACTGAGTATCTGATCACTTTCATCCTATTACTCTCCCACACAGCCACCCCTCCTCACACTTAGAATTCATTGTTCCTCCATTTACAGGTTAACTACACCTCCCCGCTGGTGGCAATGCACTTTACAGACGTGGTGAAGAACCAAGCGGTGCCTGTGCAGTGCCAACTGAAGGGCAAAGGCATCATAAATGATGTCATCAATGATCGTTTTGTGGGTAGGGTAATCTTTACTCTGAACATAGAAACTTAAGAATGTCGGGGGACACACACGCCAGTTCTGTTTCTGTTTTATTTCATGTTATCCTTGGTAGCACCTGAATTCTTTTTCTTTAATCAGGACACAGCCAGTTGGACACCTAAGAGCAGATCCTCTTTCCTTGCCTTTGACATATGTATAAAATGACATTGTGGGAGCTATTTGATTTTTTAAAGGTGGTTTCTCCTGATGACAGATTATATTAATTTCCTTCACCCTCCACTTAAAACTAAAACCCATTCTTGCTGCTAGACATCTCAGTGTAGTGCAAACATAGTATATGATAAAATTCACAGTAGCCGTGAAGGAGAATTTCTATGATGATTATAAATTCATTGTGTTTTCTAAAACTTTGTTGTTTTTAGAGGTGAGATTCTTCCCAACTAGGATGATAACCTTTTTTCCCACCTGCTTGGCAAGGTTCTTCTGTGGGAATCACCAGTTAGATCAACCCAGAATATATCTAGGGCCATCATACTTAAGGAATTCTATATCCAATGCTGCTTGAAAAACTGGCTGTCTCACGTGGGCAACTAAATACTGATTCAAAGACTAGGGTATCTTCAACTGAAAGCATGCTAACTGGATATTGTTCTGGATAGAGATGAAGACTTCCCCTATGACTTTTTCGGGGGAAGGTGAGGCCCACTTGACTTGAGAACACTTATTATGTGAATGTGATTGGTATTTGATTCCTCGATCTATGGTGTAATCATCCAAACATTCCTGTAAACAAGGTTGTCTCATCTTCAGGCAGAGGAGAGAACAAAGAAGAAGATCTCTACTCACTATTTCTTCTTGGGCTATTTGTTTGACAGTAGTGTGATGTTCTCTGAGACCACAAGGGATGGGTGTGTTGACCCCCAGCTACAGCTCTAGGGATTGAAATCAGGGTCTGCCAACAGATACATTATAAGACAGAAATCTTCTTGCAGGAAACCCTAATTCAAGACTCATTAGCCAGATTTTCATTTGCTTAAAAAAATATATGAAGCCAATGTTTATCCAGGCTATGGATCAGCCCAGCTGCTTTGTCATATCTTTGGCCACTGCTTCTTAACACCTCCACCAGGGGGAGAGATGGGACAAGGAGAAGTGAACATGAGAGAATAGCATAGTGTCTCAGGATCCAAAGTTAGCTTAACACTAGAAAGACTGAAACTTAGTATATACCTATATTGCCCAAAAGCAGTCAAAATGACTGCATTGTGAAGGAATAATATCGGAGCACTCTTCACTTATGTTCCTTAGCTTTTCCAATAACTCACTTCTATTCGACATTTCTTTCATGAATTTAGGGCGTAAAAGAAATAAAATAAACAACTTATTAGAACAAGTATCACTGCATAAAGATTCGAATAACAAGTACTAGTTTAGCTTATTAAGCAACTGCAACTTATCAAGTATCGACAATTTATCATGTACTTGTATGTTATCATGTGACGGTAATCGAAAAAAAAATGAAAACTGTTATTTCAATACAGAGCCGTACTGGTCATATAAGAAATTTACTCAATTCAATAATAAGAGTCATTTGATTATCAAGCAGTCAAAATGACTGCTTTCGGGCAATATAGGTATAACACATATATATATACCGGAAATGAAGGAGGGGGAGGTAACTACAATTATTAATAAACGCATTTATATGTTGTACAAAAAGTCACAAAATTCTAAGACATTATGTCCTTATATACATAATTGTTTTTCTAATTGAAATTGAAAAGCAGTCAAAATGACTTCCTTGGGCAATCTAGTGTTAAATGCCACCTAGAAGCATCCAGAGTCTGAAACTACTCTATAATGTTTACCTTCGTTCCAAACAAGGAACTGGTAGTTTGGTAGTAAAGACAAACAAGTGAAGAAGTAACTACAATATAGTGTGACAAGCATTATAAAACTAGTATGTGGAAATGCTATTGGAACATGAAGAAAAGTTACTTACTTGAGCTGAGAAAGTAGCAGGGGAAATTTCACATGCAAAGTCACAATCAGGAAAGACTATGGTGTGTTTGGTTACTTGTGAGCAGTTCATGTCATTGGAGTATAAAGGGCTCAGGGAAATGGCAGGAGGTGACCGGGGGTTGGGCTAGAGAGGTATGCAGGTACCAAAAGAGGACCTTTAATTTTATCCAGTAGGTGAAAAGGAGTCATTAAAGCATTATAAGCAAGGAATCTCTGTGACCATATTTGCATTTTAGAAAGAGCACTTTGGCAGCCATAATGTGAAGAGTGGATTGGAGAGGAACAAGACTGGGGAATGGGCAATGAGGGAAAAAGAAGAGTCAAGAATGATTCTGAGGTTTTGAGCTTGGCTAGAGCCAGTGAGATGGTGATACTGTTTATCACGACTGGGAATACAAGAGAGAAGCAGGATTGGAGAGGGAGATGTTGAAATCAATTTTGGGCATTTTAGGCTTGTGATTTCTATTGGTCAGATATTGGTGTGCAGATGTAAACTCTAGTTGGGTTGGGAAGAAGAAAATCTGAGAACAAAAACAAGATTTTCTTAAGTGAACTCTCTTAAGAAATTCTAAGCTATTTAATCTTGGGATTTTGAGCCAGTTATGTAAACACATCACACCAGTCTCTCAGATAGTGTTTTTCTCTTGGCTTTGTGGCAGAAAGGCTGTTACTCTTTGGAATCTCCTTCCCAGACACCTTCCAACTCCTTCCAACTCTTAACAACAGAGTAGAGGGGGGTTGACCACTATTAAGTAATAGAAGCTATACGACAACAGATCCGAGGAAAATACGAAAAACAATACAACTGTCTCCTTCCAACCCTTCCTTACCAAACTCGATTTTAAAAACTAACCTTAACAAAAAATAGACAAGATGCTTAAAGACAATAACTTTTAAACCATTTAAAAATCACCTCAAATAAATTCTCAAGATTCAGTAGTAAAAGATCACATTAAATCTGGAAAGGATATTAGAGAGCATTTAGGGAAAACAACCTGCATTGCATCTGACTCCAGGTCCAGTGCTCTTTCTACTCTGAGCTGCTGCTTACCAGGAAGTACCATCTTTTTAAAAACCAATGAATGATATTCCCAACATTTTGAAACATATGTCAAATTTGAGTTATAATAGTTAACATTTCACAGGAATTCAATTACTGGTGCTATAGTTTATACATAATACATTATCCTGTTAAATATGTTAACTATTAAACAAACAAGGAATTATGAATCTTTTGTCATACAGTGTTTTTCATTCAATGGAATCCATTGTTTCCACAGTTTCAAATAAGTGTTGAAAAGTGCTAGGATAGTTTGGGTTGTCAGCTGGGACATGAACAAATACCTTTTTAATACAAAATCGGATATTATAATTTAATCACTATTAAATTGAATTCTAACAGTTCAATAACTTCTAGTGGATTAATTCAAATAGTTCCCCACACTGTGCTATACCAGTGTTTGATCTGTATGTAATTTGTTGCAATGCACTTGGTTTTACTTGATTGTCAATGAGAAATACTACTTCAAAATGCCTTCATGATTTTGTCCATGCTTAGACATGTGATTTTTCACCCCTTCCCTCTCTGAAATCATTATCCTAAAGTAACCTCTTAGGCATTTATTTGCTGGGAATCTTCATGTAGAAAACATTAGTATTGTCTTGGTAACTTGTTGACAACAATAAATAATTTTTTTTTAAAAAAAAGTGTATGATTTCCTTTTTCTAGACTGTACCACTGATTTTCCCACTGGAATATTGGGCATCTATGTAGGTGGAAAACTTGACAATTGACAGCCCATTAATTTAATACTTTCTCTCCCCCCACCTTTTTTCAACTCTTGTGGTTTAGCCACGAGAGGATGAAACTAAGTTGTTTCATTCTGAGCATTTTTTTATTTTGCAGTCGCTATGCTCTGGTTTCTCAGACTACTTTGTCAGAGTAAACTTTCTTTCTTCATCAAAGTTGAGTACAAGTATAAATTGTCCTATGTATTTGTGTAGGATAAAAACACTAAGTGAAAGTTGAAGTGGGAAGAAGGAACCAAAATCCAAAAGCAACTTCTATTGCTTGATGAAAGATTGGCTAAGTGACTTCAGTGCACATCTGGCCACAAACTGTCTCTCAGAGCAAATCTCTAGTGGTAATTGCAATTCATGACAGAAATATTCCACTCCCTTATTTGATTCAGAGACTAGGATGCAGTAGGAATCTCTTCTTTCCTTGGAAGCTGCCCTGGCCTAAGGTCAACATGGCTGATATAGTTGCATTGGGGAGAGGTCCATGACCCCAATATATCTCTCCCATCTAGGTTCTTTGTTAGAGTAACTTTTCTTACTGACTTCCTTTTAAAATATCCAAACATGATAAAGTAATTTCATCAAATAATTCAAAAATATGATTTACATTATGATTTCATCCAGGCATAAAATAGAGGTGTGTGTGTGTGTGTGTGTGTGTGTGTGTGTGTGTGTGTGTGTTGAGAGGTGGGGGAGGAATAGGATGGATGGAGGTACAGGGCAAGGGAAAAGGTGCTGAAAGGCTGAATAGCCCTCCCTACTTCACAAAGTTATTTAGTTTCAGGGTAGGAGGGAAGAAAAGCTGATAGCGGTATCCAAAACATTTAAGAAGGATATAATAGGCTCTCAATCTAGCAGCTGAATCTTCAGGATGTACTTCCTTGCAGGCTCCTGTATGGGCATAATACCAATCAGGGTTCCTACAAGAAATAGTACACTTGACAAAATGGAATATTTGGAAAGGGGGTTATTGATAAAGAGGTTACTTATAAGTGTGTAGATGTAGAGAACCACAGAGAATAGCACAGTAACCAAGGCTAGTGGTTCCCAGAGCTTGGAAGGACTGAGTTGAGTACAATTGACTACCGTGAGAGGAGTGGTGACTTGTTGAAGAGCTAAATTAGCTCAAGGTGGGCTTGTAGTGTGGAAAAAAAATAAGTACCCTACTTAATTTTCTGCCTCCCTCTGATCACCTCTGATGATCACCAAACCCAACCAGAAGCCAGAGGGCAAGGAAGCTCACTGATGTCCATATAGATCAGCCTCCCAAGGAAGAGAGTGGAGAAGGGTAGAGAGTACATTTGGAGGGGCAAACAGAAGATATCTAATACAGTCGCTAAGTGGAGGTTCTGTGGGTAGACTCCTTGGAACCTGGTACAGTGCTGGAAACATCTACTGAACCAAATCCAGTGATTGGGAAATTTTATCTTCATTCATACTCTGCTCTGTGGCTATGGGGTCAATACAATCCTTTCAAAACCCCAACTTCCTCTTTTCTTCAGAAATTGACAAGGTGATCCTAAAATTCATATAGGAATACAAGGGACCCAGAAAAGCCAAAATAGTCTTGAAAAAGAAGAACAAATCAATTTTAGAAGGCTCATGCATCCCAATTTCAAAACTTACTACAAAGCTAGAGTAATTAAAACAGTATGGTACTGTCATAAGGGTAGACATATAGATTAATGAAATGAAATTGAGAGTCCAGAAATAAACCCACGCAACTATGGCCAATTGATTTTTGAAAATGGTGCTTTGTCCATTCAATAGTCAAACAATACTGTCCTCAAGAAATGGTGCTAGGACAATCCACATGCAAAATAAATAAATAGGAAGGAAGAAAGAAAAGAATTTGGACTCCTACTTTATACCATATACAAAAATTAACCCAAATGGATCAAAAACCTAAATGTAAGAGCTAAAACTATAAAACTCTTAGAAAAAAAAAACAGACATAAATCTTTGTGACCTTGGATTAATAGTTTCTTAAATATAATATCAAAAGCACACAAGACAAAAAGAAAAATAGATAAATTTAACTTCATCAAAATTGAAAACTTTTGTGCTTTCAAAGGACACCATCAAGAAAGTGAAAATATGCTCTAGCTGGTTTGGCTCAGTGGATAGAGCATCGGCCTGTGGACTAAGGGGTCCCAGGTTTGATTCCAGCCAAGAGCACATGCCCAGGTTACAGGCTCAATCTCCAGTAGAGGGTGTGCAGGAGGCAGTCAATCAATGATTCTCTCTCATCATTGATATTTCTATCTCTCTCTTCCTCTCCCTCTCCTTTTTTTTCTGAAATCAATAAAAATATATATTTTTTATTTTATTTTATTTTATTTTTTTTTTAAATATATATTTTTTAAAAACGAAAATGAAAATATAGCCCTAGCGAGTTTGGCTCAGTGG